CCTTGAGACTGGCAGAACTTTTGCACTAATCCCGCATGGCCATTTGGAAATTTGATGACGACCGATGACACCCACGCCGGGAATGGAAAGCCCGACACCGGTCGACGATGGGACCCTCGCAACAGTCAACGTGTTGCTTCTCTTTATGTTGCATGAAAGCGGCTGTTAGAACGAATTCGACGATACGCGACACCGTAATGGTCAAGGTCACACGAGGGCAGAGACAAAAGTCAGCGAGGAGGATCTGGTACACAATGAAAGCAGAGTTCCAACAGGACTCTGCGACTTTAGCCGTTGCTCAACCTGTCTTTCAAATGTTCGAGCTATGTGAACCATTTTTTCACCCTGGGCAACCTTGAACATTATTCTCTTACGCGACGCACAAGAAATGTTTTGAAATCCCAAGTGGCGTACAATTATGCTTGAAAAATCTCGCGAGCATTTCATAAAAATTTTATGAGAACTTCGCAAGGAGCAATAATAAACAGATTAGAAGCAATAAAAATGCTATAAAGCAATAAAATTATTATATATTATAACAATAAACTTGTTATAAACTAAAGTGTTATTTTGCTCCATTAAGGCAATAAATCATGTTATACAAAATCACTGTATATGGTTCTAGTATATTCTTAAGTTAAAAGATGACAATGATAACGTGTTTTTAAACGTTATGAATCATCGCGAGCGTCTTGCTCAATCGTAACATCTTTTTCGCGTAACCTTAACCCAAATAACAGCTGTGAGAACCGATTCAAGGTGTTCACTCGGATAATAGGTAGTAAACCATGTTCTTGTGTTTACTGCTTCTCTTTTTTAGATAAGCTTTTAGGCGTTTTTTCCCGGGAGTACTATAATAACAGGAAAAAATAGCGAGAAGACGATGTAAATTATGAATGGAGGATCCGAGTGAAGTATTGCAAGTTTTATCTCGCAACTACAGCGGATATTAGCCTTGAAAATTATTTGAATTTATGGTGGGAAATAATTCTCGCGCGAATGTTGGAAACAGGTTCTTTTTTCAAGTATATACCACATTCGGAGTAGGTGGTGAGAGACAGCAGAAATATACAGGGAGACCCAGATCGAAAACGATAAACTTTGCTAACATGTTCGTCAGATCAATCTGAGCAAAACATCCTATTATTATAGCGTAGATCGATTCGTCGTTTTCGAAATATGGATGGAAATACTGATAATTTGAATTCAATAAATAATTCCCAATAAATAATTAAACAGTTACTCACAAAATTGAGCGTATACCTTTTAAAACGCGATATATTTTTTAAAAATTGGACTAAGTGACTTGAATTTTTTTGGATGATAGAGGAATTTAATTTTGTTACTGCTTGGAATGACAAAAAAATATATAAACACGTTTTTTAACTTTCTTATCTGAGCCTATAGCAAAAATTAAAAAAATGCCTTTCGTAGATCTCGGTAACTTATATGCGTGCTGAAAATTTGATGGAAATAAACCTTAACTGTTATTTTATCATAACTAAACTGCGGATTTTATGCATTCATGGCAAAAATACGTAGCTGACGTATAAGATTATTAAGACATAAGATCAGTTTCACAACGATATTATACTATTTTCAACACAACAACATTATTGAAGGAAGCAACTTATTTTTATCTCATTTCTGTTTTCGCATTTTTATCTCAAAAAACTCTTATTTTGCATAAAGATCCGCAGTCTAATATGTATATCGACATTTTACCAAATAATTTTAGTTTCTTCACAAGATGGTGTATACGTCTTAATTATATAATGTTTCTGAGATGACCAAAAACAATACTGATGACGGTTGGCAGCACCGTACCTACCTGAAATATCAAAGTACAGTAAATTCTCCCTAACTGACGCGCAAACTGTACACGAAGTGGACAATTTGGGAAGAGGAGATACGATTATTTGAGCCTTCCAGCTCATTTTTATAGTTACCGATTGTCAACAACTATAAAATCGAGCTGCAAGGCTGAAATAATCGTATCTCCTTTTCTCAAATTGTCCATTTTTGTGCACAATCTGAGCATCAATTAGGGAAAATTTCTTGTAAATGGTCTGTAAGTTGTCCACAGATAAAAACCAACGGAACCATCTTGTCCAATTGACATTATTTGTGCTTCTGTCAGTGTTTACTAAGTAAAAAAGGCGTAAATAATAGTTCTGGGTTTGTATATTAATAACAACTTATTTCTTTGCATTTCAATAATCATTTTGTTACTATTCGTATGTGATACAATTTTGTGACTTACGGGGTGCTTTCTTCTATTTTCAGATTTATTAGGTCTACCGGAAAGTTCTGTCTGATAATGTCATTGCAAGTTTCGATAGGTATGCATATGTTCATTTGAGACATATATTTTTGAAAAATGTAGCTCACAAATTGTCATCACGCTGGCAAGAGGTCATAAGTAACGACGGAAATTATATTGTACAATAAATATTACTACATTTATGAAAAACCTATTATTTCCTTTCATTTCTTAAACGGACAGAACTTTCCGGTAGACCTAATATATATCATGTACCCAAAATATGGATACAAAATCACATAAAAATGAAAGAGGAATTAGAACTAGACGCATTAGCAGTTTAACAACAAGTGCAAACTGTTTTATCGAATTTCACGCTAAAGCTTTTATGCACAGAAGCGCAAACATTGTAAGCCGTCGTTACTTCAAAGTTACAAAGTGAATTAATTATAATAAAATTGTTTAAACTGGAAAATTTCTTTTCTCATCTGCACATATAAGTTTATAATTGTTGATTTTCTGTCGCATGAATTTTTTTATATTTAAGAAAAATATCCGGCTCATAAAAGGTTAAACGTATTTCCAAGACAGATCATAGTAAAGAAACAGAGCGCAATCATTTAAAGAGATCCAGCCGGTAGAATTCGATTAATCGATGCGCGCAGCGCTGACGAACGTTTAAACCTGTCGCGGACGTTTACGACGCCCAGAACAAGCATGCACACGATCCTGTAATATTGACGCAACGCGAGGCGCGGCACACAACGAACTTTCTGTTCCCACAAAAGGATGTTCTCGAAGCCAGTAAGTAAGAACTGCAAATATTTGTCTTTTCCGCGCCATCTTGACAGGAGTGGCGTGCTGTTCCAACACTTCGATGCCATCGCCATAACAACTTCATTTCCCATTTTACAGAACACCTTTTATCTCTAACAGTGTCTTTTTCTCGGAAGTAGTATGGCCATTCCCGTTTAGCAGTAAAATGTATTCAAAACGGGATTGTGCGAACTACAAGAATAGAAAGGTCACTCTCGGTAGACAGAGTGAAATATGGTTTCCGTAATTATACATTTTTCACCCCATATAAAAGTCACTATTCTAGTACGTACATTGTGTGTGTGTGTGACAGTGATTAAACAAACGAAAAACTCGATTGAAACATTGCATTATACAACAAATAATTTCCAAATAAATTTAGGTGCAGTGAAATGACTCACCCTGTACAATGCTTTACAGCATTTAACCCCCCACCCCTATATATATATACTATTTCTATATATACTATTATATTACTATTATATACTATTTATATATATATATATACTATTATATTACTATTATATACTATTTATATATATATATATATATATATATACTATTATATTACTATTATATACTATTTATATATACTATTATACTATATATACTATTTCTTTCACAAATACGTTGATTAGCACTTTGTCGTTAATAGATTCCTATATGTGTACAAGGAAGAAAATTTATATCTATTTCATGATTAACCATCACTTTAATATAATTTAACTAATTTAAGATATGCATATTACATCCAGATTTAATAAATTATGTCCGAGATCTTCGTAACGAGATTTGATACAATATTATAGCACAAGGCGTAAACGCAGAACTCCAAGCGTGCGCTCGTTGATCGATTGAAACGAGAAGCTGTCGGAAAACGTCTCCTTTTACACAAGTTTCCGCGAATTCAAATGAACCGCCGCACTTTCACCGATCGGCACACAGATCGCGTCGACCGCTCTGAACTTGTTACGTTAGCGAATCGATAAAATCGAATCGCGAGTCGTGTCGCTTTCACGGTCCACNTATTATATACTATTTATATATATATATATATATATACTATTATATTACTATTATATACTATTTATATATATATATATATATATATATATACTATTATATTACTATTATATACTATTTATATATACTATTATACTATATATACTATTTCTTTCACAAATACGTTGATTAGCACTTTGTCGTTAATAGATTCCTATATGTGTACAAGGAAGAAAATTTATATCTATTTCATGATTAACCATCACTTTAATATAATTTAACTAATTTAAGATATGCATATTACATCCAGATTTAATAAATTATGTCCGAGATCTTCGTAACGAGATTTGATACAATATTATAGCACAAGGCGTAAACGCAGAACTCCAAGCGTGCGCTCGTTGATCGATTGAAACGAGAAGCTGTCGGAAAACGTCTCCTTTTACACAAGTTTCCGCGAATTCAAATGAACCGCCGCACTTTCACCGATCGGCACACAGATCGCGTCGACCGCTCTGAACTTGTTACGTTAGCGAATCGATAAAATCGAATCGCGAGTCGTGTCGCTTTCACGGTCCACGGGAACGCGCGTCCAACGAAAAGCTTGAATAAAAAGTGGCGAGTCACGGGCAAGAAGCCGTTCCACGAATTTCACCGTGTCGCCGGAACGAGTTTGAATTACGAAATTCGAGCGGAATGAACGGATACGAAATTCAAGCGAGACGCGGAATTCCTGTGAACGAATCCGCATTTGCGGGGAACGTAAACAGCGGGTGACGTAGACGGTCGACGCAGTGTTTTCTTTCGTAGTCGCGCGGAAACCGGAGAGCACGAACATCTAACAGAGCGGTAGACTTTCAGGTTGAAGGTCACGAGGTGAGAAAATATTTCGCCTCGAGTGCAGAAAATCCTTGCCTACCTGGTTCAGTGTCGTCGGAATGATGTCAGGCGTTTGCGGTAGCATTTTTTTGGGAATTTATTGTCGAGCAGCCCTCGAGTCAACACGGTCTCGGCTTACGCACGATCGGTAGCATAATATCCTGGCGAATGAACGGAGAGAACACCTTGACAGGATACACACAGGGATCGATCACGAACGACTCGGCACTGATTTAGTTAATCACTGATTGAAATCGTCTTGGTGCACTGATCGTTCACCGAACGAACGTTTCCGCGATGAATCGACGCAACGTGGAATATCGTTACGGTGTTTACAAAAATACGATCGATTTTTTCGCGTAACAACGACCTACGGACAGGACGTATACTCTCACCACGAAGTCATGCGCGAGACTGACGGATCCGGGCGGTGTAGCTGAGCCCGAGCCCGACCGACTGGCCACGGAAACGGCCGAACACCTATCATCCCCCGAATACGAGCACGCCGTACATTTCTGAAATTTCATCGGTATCGACTACCAACCGGTATCTGGATTATTTTATCGGTGTGTATTCGATAATATTAAGCCGCATTTTATCTCTTTCTCTATTGATTCATGGTAATAATTATTTATTGTTCGACTGATATAAAAGTAAAATGGATTTATAAAAGCACCAAAGATACACGTGCAGTTACATCAAGGTGCAAGAAGTAGGATGAATTATATCACGGAAGCGATTAGCTTCAGTCGACGATGCGGAGTAAACGTGAAACATATCAGAGAAAATGAAATAGATAAAGAACGTTAGATGCTATTACAACAACTTATGTTATCGACGTTTTTTCTTAATTATTTATTTACTTATTTTCTAACATTACTTTTAATTTTTTAACATTACTATTTTTTAGATTACTTACAAGGAAGACTACTCGGTTGATCATAATGTTTGGATACTTTAAATTAAAAATGCTACCAATAAATTATAATATTAATAAAATTACAACTATAATTTTCCATTACGTTTATGATCGTTTTCTCGAAGAATGTTCACAATAACAACGGTTAATAAACTCTTATGTTACCAGAAAAGAAACACTAAAGAAACATTAAAAATTCGTGTGCAAACATTTTTATATTTAATTATATTTATATTTAATTCTGCCGAAAATATAAGAATCAGGCGAAGTTAATTTTAAATCAGGTTTATCATTGGAATGTCGTTGTTAATCAGCTAATTACGCGATTATAATAATTATGAAAATTAAAACGTTTTCGTAAACTGCTTTAGAATGCAATACACACAGATTGCAGGTGGTTTATGAGCAATTTATTTGTTATGAATCAAGCGTTTATTGTTTCGTAGCTGTTTCAATTAGCAATGTGACACGGGGTATCTAATTAAAATGTTAATGAAGTAGCGATTATGAAAGCGTATATTGGCGACGATTAAGTAGGAAAGTTTCGTTATTATGTGAAAGATGGATTAAGAGCTCCTTTGTTATATAAACTATATAAACTTTATCTGATCGATTCCAGTATCCTGAATTCTATTGTTTTCAAGTGCTTTATCGGGACAAGTATCATATTATCGATTGTTATCTTTCATTTATTTTCTCCCCATTGTGTTGTGAATTGTCGTCATTTCATTTTCTTTCCATTGTGTTGTCAACTATAAACTCTATTATATTAGTTTACTTTGTTCATGTAGCTTTCATTAGAAATTAAGTTGATTAAAATTAAAGGAGCTCACTTGAGAATTTATTTTCTTCGATACACAGATCTGCTACAGCTTAAATAAGTTTATAAACAATTACGAAAAACTATATTCAAAAACTTGCATATTTAACTACCAAAGTTACGAACAAAATGTTTAACTGTTTATATAGAATATTTCTTTCTTCAATGCATTTAAGATGTTGATGTATGATCAGATTTTCTGAGGGAAATATTTTTAGAACTTTAGTCAACTAAATTGAACACTTGTAAAATGTTATATGGATATCTACACTAACTTGCAGGCGTTCAATTCTTAATGCCTCGGTCTTCATTCGAATTAATATTACGATCTTTATGCAAAACAGAAATTCTTTGCCTCAATTGCAACACAATCGGGAATTAAATACAAATTTCACCTCATCAATATTTTTAGTAGGTTGAAAATAATGTAACGGCATTGGCAATATTTTTTCTCTGCATTTATCGTTTTGCATTCCATTTGCTCGCATTTGTCATAAATGCACAAAATCTGCTGTCTAGTTATTGACTTATGGAAAAACTGCGGAAAATTAAGCAATTAAAATACAACTTACCAGCAGATAAGACGGCTGTCATTGCGGACAGTGTATTCCACGAACTACAACTTCATTCGAGGGGAAATATGCCAGCGGCATCGGGAGATCGTTTGTATTCACCCTGTAATGGTAGTCCCGCAAGTCGCATAATAGTTGTATCTAAAGAGTCGGCTTGCGAACGACAAATTCCTTTCGCCGACCACTTCGACCATACTTGGAATTTAAACGCCGCCTCCACAAGACAAACCATTGAAATTCGCGGAAACACCATGGAAAGATCGAATGCCTGTGTCAACATCGTACGAAGTCGATGCGAAGCAGGCGTGCCGAATAAAATCGGGAAACGATTGTTACTTTACATTCCAAGCAATTAAACTGTGAACCTGTATGCGTTCGCGGCTTATACAAATTCGAAATGCAATTGTTAACACTTTATTTACTGGAAGCCTGATAATACGCTTTTTAATGACTGAACTTTATCTTGATAACATTTTCTTTTCTCTTTTGGTTATGCTATTAAAATCAATAAACCTATTATTATTATTATTATTTTTTATCAAATGGGTCAAAAGGGACGTTTCAGAATTTAAATTGAATACTCTTGATTAACATCTGTGTGATATTGATATTATACAATCAGCAATTTCATTTGTAACAATAATTAATTCTTGTTTTTTTTTCATTTTTGTTGAGAAATGAAAAATTGCATAAACATCCGGAGTGTATACGTATAAGAAATTTGTGCTTCTACTTCTTATCTGATTAAATGTTTATTTAATAATATTGGATAGCATGTATTTATAGCGAATATCCTTTTGAACGGATCATTAGTTTCGAATGGATTATTAATTTCTGTGCTCCAGACACCTGTTCGGTGTTAATGATAAGGACATGGATCACACGAGGAAGCATGAGTCAAACAAGGGACTCTCATCGGTGACAAACAAATTCCTCGTAGAGTTTTCACTGATGAGTCAAACTTATTCTTAGGGTTTTACCTAAAATGATTTGTACTGAGGTAGAACAAGAGGTAGAACAAGAGGTAGAACATCAAACTTTGTTTTACATTGGTTTAACATCGAACTGTGAACATTAATTCTAATAAGAATTTATTCAATTATTCAGAAAAAATATATATTGAATTATTTAATATAATATGAGCTTGCATAAAGAAATTGATTCGATTTTTTTTACAAATACAGCTTTATAATTTCAATAGTTGCTAAATGAATCTGAAGTAGTTCATTCGACCAGAAATGATACATGCAGTACTTACTTAATGCTGCTTTATTGTATTACTGAAAATCACTGTAATTAATGGGCGACAGATGTTATAGTTTCGTAACATGTTTTATCATAAACATTTTCGCATATTTATTTTCAGCAATTATACACTAGATAATAATTTTCTGGTGATTCGTTTATTATACGTATTACTGTACATACTGAAAATTTTGTAATTTATATTACTGGAACCCGGCAAAATAACCAGTGCAAAAATTTTCACTCTATGCTTATTGCGATTGTAATGATACATTCATGAGGAATTTATTCAATAAATCTATTACTTCGGACAAATGTTACAAGAGGAATCGTGAAAAATTCAAACAAACACTTACATTACTGTTACTTTTAAAAAGTAATATATGGTATAATAGACGCTTCCGAGTTTTCACTCGGAGATTTTTCGGAGTTCACCTACAAACAATTCGAACATATTTATTTGCGAAAAACAGCTAACATTTTGATTTCAAAAATTGTCATAAGGTTATAATAAATTGTATTATGGAAATAAGATTGTATTATAGAAATAAGATTGTATCATTAATGAGACTGTATTTGTAGAGATTTCACGAAACAAAAATTTGTAATCTTTAAAATACAATAATCGCCAGCAACTCAATAAGAGGAGACATCCGAGAACAAAAGGGTTAACAAACAAACGAAGTAGTTTTTGCTAATGTGCGCTGCTTTGTATTCTTTCGAGAATTTGGTACTTCCTATGGTCCTAAACTATAGGAAAATGTGCAATGAAAAATCGAGTTTTTTCAAGCGATTACTACAAAATGTCAATTTAACCTTACAACTACCGAGGCGCTGCCACTTGTATCAGAGTCATATACTCACACTGATATTTCCCTCACACATATTGCGTGCTCCTCGCTCTTGTTCGCTGTGAATCAGGCACAATAGAATGAGGGTTAAAGTTACATGCTTTTATCCTAGCTCACTGAAACGACTCGACCGCCATTACGAGTATGTTATATCAACTTCTTCGTTTATTATTGAAAGACAATCGACCCGGCGCACAGTGCGGCCCTTATATGAGCATCCGGAACAAAAATCATAGTTAATCAATTTTCGACCAAAATGCCTTAAAATAATTTGCCAAAGAAAATACAAAGATGCAACGATCTGGATACAAAAATTATGCGATTTCGTGAAAAAATTTTTGATTACTTTTATTGGATAATCAAATCTTACGTTTCTATAAATGAATGTCCGCGTACAAAGCTACTAACCGGCTGTGCCTACATATTTTATTGGCAACTTTTCGCAAAAAATTTAGAGAGAAAAAGAGGGTAAAGAGAGAAAAGAGAGGGTGTGAAAGAGAGTGGGAGGTGAGGGGGAGAGAGAGAGGTAGAGAGACGGAGAGAGAATGAGTGAGAGAGGAGTGAGGCAAAGAGAGAGAGGGAGATGGAGAGAGTGGGAGCAAGAGCGAGAGACTGAGAGAGCGAAAACGAGAGAGAGCAGTGAGAAGGAGACGGAGGGAGAGAGTGGGGGAGAGACAGTGAGGGAGAGAAGGAGAGAGAGGGGCAACAAGAAAGAGAGAGTGGAGGGAGAGGGAGAGAGAAGAAGAGAGAGAGGGAGAGAGAGAGGGTGAAGGAGTGAGGGAGTGGAAGGGAGAGGGAGGGAAAGAGGAAGAAAGAGAGGGTGACAGTGGGAAAGAAAAGGAAAGAGTGATTGAGCGAGGGAGAAAGGGGTGCAGATACGGAGAAAGAGAGAGAGGGAGGAAGAGAGAAAGGAGTAGGACGGAGAGAGAGCTACGGTTATGTCAAGGTTATGCTACGGTTATGTCAAGATTAGGTCAGGGTTAGGTCAGGTAATAAACGTCATTTCGCCGACTA